ACCCCTGGAAACACAGGGCAGGGACACAAAGGGAGGTTTCCTCCAGGACACAGAAGGCCCCCCGGGAGGAAGCTGCACTCAGCTCAGTTAGGGGCCCAGCCCTGAGACTGTCCCAGGCCCTGGGCTGGAGGCCAAGGTGGGTCAGCTACGACATGTGACAGGAAGTCCCTGATGAACTCCCCAGGGAAGGACTCATAGGAGCCACCAGGCCCCAGCCCTTGCAAAACGTCACCATCCTAAGCCCCTGCCTGGGAAGTGAGCAGCCCAGAGACCCCACAGCCACTTCTGTGAACAGCTGGTTCTGGAACTAGTTCAAGGGGAAAGGGTAGCTGGCCTGGGGTCCTCCCCACTCGATCCTGCCAAATCGAGGTTTGAAGAAAATGGGAGGCCACATCCTGCCCTGGCTTTCCTGCAGACCAGCATTCACTGAGCACCTACTGTGTCAATGTATGACACAGCAGGTGGCTAACTGTCTCACAGGTCACGCAGATTGACCCTGAAGGTAACGCTGCCACCTTCCTTTTTGTGGAGGAGGAATGGAGAGGCAGGGAAGTGACACAGCTTGCTCAGGGGCGCGGTGCCGCGGAGTGGCAGAGTCAAAAGTCGAATCCAGGACTTCTAGACTCTCGAGCTGATTCGCAGCTTGGAGCAGCCTCAGAGCCAGGATGCAGAGCACACGGCCAGTGGAGGGCCATTTACACTGAAGCTATGGCCCAGCCTGTAAAACAGGGACCCTGACATGCCCCTCAGGGGCGGGAGTGAACCCTGCCCGTGGCCTACTCCTCCTCGCCCACCCGGGGCAAGCTTGGCCACTTCCTGGGCCAAGGCTACATCTCCCTTGCTGTGGCCACTGTCTGGTCCTCCCTGGCCTCTAGTCTCCATGCCCCCCACCCCCCTCCCCCACGAACCTGAAGTACCTTTGGTGACTATAAGCCGAGTCTCCTTACTCAGACTGAGGCAGACGCAGGAGAGGAATGGGGCTAGCTATGCGATACCCCCAGGCTGTAAGGGGTGCGTAGGGCTCGAACCCAAGGCCCGCGCCTGGACCATTCTTGGACACAGAGTCCCGTCCTGGTTCACAGCCCTGTGTTCTCTGGGGGACACGCCCTGCCCTCCCAGGACCCTGCCCTGTGGAAATCTCCCTTGACCTGGTGTTGAGGACCCAGGATCTGGGGGACCACCACTCCTGCTCTCAGCATCCCAGCTTCAACCCGAGTATGACCAGCCAGCTGGCCGAGCGAGGCCTTTGCTCCTTGCAGAGTTTCCGAGCAGGTGTGCTGATGTGCCCAAGACATGTTTGAGGCAGGCCGACACCACTTTCCTTGGCCTCTGGAGGCAGAGGGGGTCTGGGGAGGCCCAAATCCCTGGGCTAGGGTCTCCTGGGACCTCAGTAAGGGGACAAATTTCATCTTTTGGACCTGCCCTTAATGTGGAAAAAATCTGGGCAATGCTAACCAGGAACAACAACTACTAACCAGGACTGGCCCCAGGAGCCACCTAGAGATGGCCTGAAAGATGTGGATTCCCAGACCCCTCCTGTCTTTAGAATGTCTGGGTTCAGAATGAAGCCTCGAATTTTGGGAAAGTCCTGGGAACTGTGACGAACATGCTCTGGGGACTCTCTAGTCCAGAAACCCTATGGAAGCCCTGTATTCCCCCAAGGACCCTCTATGGTGCAGTCAAAGAGCCCGGCCTGGCAGGCCACATGTCTGAGCGGAGGCAGGAGCGATCCCTCAGAGATAGGGGCGAGACGCATGGCAACGGCCTACCCGCCAGGTCCCCTCCTGACCAGGTGCTCGGGAGTCTGAAGTGAAACACGGAATTCATTTCAGAGCAACATCAAGTTCCAGACCTGAAAGTTCAGGAGGAATTCTGCTGCCTCTCAGGAGAGTGGACATCGGGGGAAAAAAAACCGAATGGAGCCAGGCAGTTCAGGCCTTTGTATCCCATCTCGGATGCAGAGGACCCCACGGGGAGTGGTTAAGTCACAGGCAGGGTGCTGGGATCCTCTCTCCTTCCTTCACTCCCTCCCTCACCACCTGCAGATACCCACTAGGCACCTAGTAAGTGCAGCACAGACACTGCGGCTATAGCAGCCAATGAAGTGGACAAGCATGCCTGTCCTTGTGGAGCGCACCTGTGTTTATCCAGCTTGCTAGAGGGCAATGCACCCACTGCAGAGGGACAGGGAGAGAGGGAGAGAGGGAGAGGGGGAGAGGGGCGGAGAGCGAGGGCGATGGACAGTGAGGAAGCACCCCCAGAGAGGATAGCCACATCACAATCCCTCCTCCTCCACTCTCTCTCAGGTAGGCACACACCCGACGTGTTTCAAGCTCCGAGATCCAGGACTCGAACTGCACAGTTGTCCATGTGGGATCCAGCCACCTTAACCACTGCCCCACCGTCTCACCATCTGGCCCTGGAGCTGATGTTTCAGTCAGGGGAGACACACATACACTAAGAACAATACAAAATATGGCGCTTTTTTTTTTTCTTTTTGACAAGATGGCCTCACCAACAGCACTGGCAAGTGATCCTCTCGCCACTCCAGCCCCAGCCCAGCCCCAGCTGCCACCGCAGCCTCAGCCTCAGCCCCAGCCCCAGCCCCAGCCCCAGAGCCAGTGCTATCACCATTGCCATAGCCATCACCATCGCCATCGCCATCGCCAACGCCAGCGTTCCGGCTGCAGCTCCAGCTCCAACTCCAGCTCCAGTCGCATCCTCAGACTCCGCGACAGCAGTGTCTCTGACCGCGACTCCGGGCCAGACCCCAGCCTCAGCACAAACCCCAGCACAGACCGCTGTACCCTCACTGGCTCTTCCAGGGCCCTTCCCTGGCGGCTGCATGGTCAGGCTACACCCAGTCATCTTGGCCTCCATCGTGGGCAGCTACGAGTGACGCCACGAGGGCGCTGCCCGAGTTATCAGGACCCTGCTAGGAACCGTTGACAAGCATTCAGTGGAGGTCACCAATTGCTTTTCAGTGCCGCACAGTGAATCAGATGAAGCGGCTGTTGCCATGGAATTTGCTAAGAACATGTATGAACTGCATAAAAAAGTCTCTCCAAATGAGCTCACCCTAGGATGGCAGCTACAGGCCATGACGTCACAGCGCACTCGGAGCTGATCCATGAGTCCTACAGCCGGGAGGCCCCCAACCCCATTCACCTCACTGTGGACACGAGTCTCCAGAATGGCCGCATGAGCATGAAGGCCTAGGTCAGCACTTTAATGGGTGTCCCTGGGAGGACCATGGGAGTGACGTTCACACCTGACGGTGAAATACGCTTACTGTGACACAGAACGCATTGGCGTTGACCTGATCATGAAGATCTGTCTCATGATCGGACTCTCAAGTGACTTGCAGCAAGTAGGAGGGGCATTGCGCGCATCCAGGAAGCCCTGAGCACAGAGCTGCAGTGTGCCGAGGACGTCCTGTCTGGAAAGGTGTCGGCCAACAACACTGTGGGCCGCTTCTTAATGAGCCTGGTTAACCCGTACCCAACATAGGCCCCGATGACTTCGAGACCATGCTCACAGCATCGACGACCTGCTGGTGGTGACCTACTTGGCCAATCCCACACAGTCACAGACCGCCCTCAATAAGAAACTTGGAAACCTGCGACTAGGCCCCCAGCAACCTGCCTGCCAGTCTGGACTAGGACCCACAATGGAGTGAAGAAGAAATGCTTTCTTTGTGGTCTTGAGTCACAGTGAGTCAGCCAGCTAGCTGCTCATGACTCTAAATAAACATATCCAACCTATTACAAGTGGAAAAAAAAAAAGAAAAATACAAAATACATAAAAGAAGGTGGTCGGGGAAGGCCACACTAATAAGACGCCCTTTAAGCAGGGACTGAAGGAGAGGGAGCGAGTCACGTGGATGGCTGGGGAAAGCCGCCCCACAGAGGGCAGGTGTGGAGGGCCGGGCCGGGAGCACACCTGCTGCTCTAAGAGTAGCTGTGAGGGACTGAGTCTCGTGCAGAGCAAGGAGGGGAAGAACAAGGGGTGACCAGCCCCAAGCCGCCAGTCAGATGACCCTGGGCCTGGCAGGTCAGACTCCTAGTGACATTAGGATCCTTCAGGAGGAGTCATGGTATGATCTGACCAATTTAAGGAAGGAGATGTTTTTGAACATATAAGGTGGTGTGGTTGGCTTCGCTTAGCACCTAGGGACGGGTCTCTTACTTTAGTGATCTGGACCCAAAGAACCAAGGATTTTACACAACGCAGCTCAACATTCCCATCCTATGACAGTGGCACTGACCAAGGATCGTCTGTGGCCTTAATAAACTCATCCCAGCAAATAACGTGGGGACAGCAGACAGCATAGTGGTTATGTCACTGGACTCCCACAGGGCAGATTGTGGCTCGAGTCCCAGACCTCATAGCTTGAAAATCACTCTGATTGCATGTGAATGCGTGCCCAAGATCCCAGGAGGAGAGCGGAGGAGAAGGGATTGTGGCATGGCCATTCCCCCTGGGGGAGGGGGTGACTTCTCACTTTCCCTCTCACTGTCTCTGTCTCGCTCTCTCCGGTGAGTGCACGCACCCTAAGGCAAAAACTCTTTAAAAATATATATATAAACGATGCACAGCCAAGCAGCCTGCCCAAGCCACAAAGGTTGAGAGAGTCTAACAATGTTCATTAAAAATAGCACAAAGGGCTAGTTTCTCTTTTTGCCCAAGAAAGACCAGTCACCCTGACTATGTCCGTGCAGCCAGTTGCTAGGGTTCCTGGTGCTTCTGTGCCGCTGGCCTGCTCCCTGGCCCACAGGCTCCAGCCACCGTCAGCAACACTTCCTGCTGCAGCTCCAGTCTGGGGGCCAGCACCAATGCGCATGACTGCTCACCCCTGAGCACTCCTGTGACCTCATGTCGGCCCATCACACCAGCCCTCCACTTCCCTCACGGGTCCAGGCCTCCACCCCGAAGACCTGGCCTTGGACTAGACGAAGCATCCAGAGCTTAGCCTCAAGCCCCGCACCCCCAGGACTCACCGGGCATGGAGAATGGGGACAGGAAGGCAGCCTCTACTGGCTCTGGCTCCGGGGGTGGTGGCTGTGGTGGCGGCTGCTGCTCCTGATCCTGCTGAGGGTCTTCAGGGTTTTCCACAGGCACGTTCCCATTCTCGATGTTCTCGTGCCTCCCGTTCTGGAGTGGTTTGTTGCTTACGCTGTTGGCTGAGTTGATCAGCCTCTGTCGCTGTGTGGACGGGAGGCAAGACAGACACCACAGCGTGTGACAAAGTGTCAGGCTCATGCAAACATCCAGCTTTGACAGGCTCAGAGAACAACACTCCTGGGGACAGACTTGCCTGAAATCAACAGAAAGACCTTGGAATCCATCTTCGCTCATTTTCACCTGGACCAAGCGAAGCCTTTGGGGGTTGATAAGAGGGCCTGGGTCTCCCTTTAGTGCCAACTTGGCAACCCACCTCATGACACAGATGACAATGATCATTCAAGGCTCTCTCAGTGGACATTCATAGCCATCTGAAGACGATCATCTACATGAATTTTGTGATTTTAAAAGGTGTATCATACAGGGCAGACGGGTGGCCTGGTGGTTGTGACGCTGGGCTCCCAGGTGGCCAACCACAGTTTGAGTCTCAGACCTGGTAGCTTACTTTCTCACATTTCCTCTCTCTGGTCAAATTTAAATATAATAAGAATGATGATAATAACTAAAATTAAATAATTCTTTAGGGGAAAAATAAAGGTGTATCATGAAAAGAGTGTGCCTACATTTAGCATCTGTCCCACCAATGTTCCATGCCAAAAGCGGAATGTTTCTTTCTTTTTTTTTGAGAGAGAGATTTTTGCTACAGGGCACATGTGCTTGCAGAAAACACAAAGTGAGAAATTACCTCCCAGGGAGATGGCCACACCATATCCTTTCTCCTCAGTTCTCTCAGGATCTTGGGCATGCACACACATGTATCCAGCCTGAGTTTTAAGTTGCCGGGTCCAGGACTTGAACCATGGTCAACTACATGGGAGTCCAGCAATGGAACCATTACTTCACCTGCTGGTCCCAAGAGCAGAATGTTTCTAGCCCTCCAAGCACAATCCCAGTAGACACGCTTTCCACGGGTAACCAAGGAAACAACTCTGCTGGCTTTCATAAACATCACTGTTTTCCCTGAACCTGAACTTCACAGAGGTGGAGTCAGATAGCACATCCTATTTTGTGTCTGATTTCTTTCATGCAACCTAATATCCATGATATGTTGTTATATGATACAGCAGGTTTTTTCCTGGCTATGTAATATTCCATTGTATGGATAACCCATCATGGATCTTTTGCCAGTGAAGGGGCTTTGCGGTTGTTTCCCTTTTGGGGTAATTATGAAGAATGTGGCTAAAAATATTTGTGCATGTTTTCTTGTGGACATATGTACTCATTTCCCTTGGGTATTTGCCTTGTCAGTTAGGTCAGACTAGGCATAGTCCCGGAGTGAAAGAAACACAAAGCTACTCTTCCAGGTCCCTACATAGCTCCCTAGCGCACACCCCTGCTGCAAGCCCTTTCTTCCCCTGCTCTGCTCTCCAGTGATGAACAGACAAGGGCCTTCCCATGAGAGTAATTTTAACTTTGCAAACTTCTCTCTAAATTCTAGAATTATTCAATAAGATGACTGGAGAAGTAATGGGACCAAAGGTCTCAAGAACCACTCTGAAACCCAGCATTGTGTGGTTTTTATTCTCCTCTACTGCCCTTCCATGATCAGTTTTCCTCCGGCCACTGCTTAGTCTCCAGGCATCGCCTTTCGGCCTGTGCATCACTGCCGTGTTTTAGAGCTGGAAGAATTCTGTCCCATGCCCTCAGGTAGAGAAAGGCAGAGTTGAGTTAGTGGCTGATGTGAGACTAAAACCTAGACTTCCTTCCTTCTCAGCCAGATCTCTCCGGTCCCCATGCTGCCTTCCAGGGGAGCCCAATCCGAACATAGTAAAAGACGTTTTCCCAGAAGCCTAAAACATCTGGGGCCTGAGCCAGCTGGTGGCGTGGTGGTTAAAGGGGCTGGACCCCACACAGCTGAGTGTATGGCTTGAGTCCTGGGCCCAGCGGCTTGAGGAACATAGTGGGTATGTGTGCATACATGCCCAAATCCAAAAAGGAAGAGACGCAGAAGGGCTGCAGCGTGACTATGCCCTATAGAGGTTCTTTTTTTCTTCTCTCTCTCTCTGGTGAGCGCCCACACCCTTAGGCAAATTAAAAAAAAAAAATTGGGGACCAGCAGTTAGCGTAATGATTATGTTGCTGGATTCCCATGTAGTCGACCGCAGGTTGAGTCTCGGACTTGGTGACTTAAACTCACGCCGGGCGTGTGTGCGTGCATGCCCAAGATCCTGAGAGGAGAATGGAGCCGAAGGGATTGCAGTGTGGCCATCCCCCCATGGGGGGTGATTTCTCGCTTTCTGTCCCTTTGTCTGTCTCTCTGTCTTTCTGGCGGAGTGCACACGCCCTATGGCAAAAACCTCTCAAAAAAAAAATTAAAATAATTTAAAGTTGTTCAACCCCCAGGATCAGCAGGTGGTATGGTAATTAAGGTGTTGGATTCCCACATGGCACATCACAGTTCAAGTCCCAAAACTGCTGGCTTGAAAACCATACTGAACAAGTGTGCATTCATGTGCAAAATCTCAAGAGGAGACTGGAGGAGAAGGGATTGCAGCATGGCCATCCCCCTCAGGAGAGATATCTCATTTTCCCTCTCGCTGTCTCTCTCTGGAGAGCACATGCACCCTATGGAAAAAAAACAAAACAAAAACCTGTTCAACCTCTGCCCCCAGTATGCAGTGGGTACACAATGATCACACGCATGAAAAATGGCTAGAATTCAGTAAAATTTCAGATTCAGTTTTACTGATTTGGACCAAAATGATTCAAAACTTGGAAAGGTGCTCCCCTTTCTTCCTATACTTTCCAGAGCGGGTACATTTAGGACAAACCAAAGCGGCAATATTCAGCAGGCAGGCCCTTAGCATGGGCGACTCATTTGCATACAATCTATGTGCTAACTGCTAATTATCAGCAATCAAAGCTGACCCCCTCCTGGCTGTTATCTGCTTCTGAGAATAGGAACTTAAAATTCCAACAGGCGCATATGAGAGGTTTTCCACAGGTTCATGGAAATGTGCATTATCACAAAAACTATGCATTAATTTATTTTTTTTATTTTTATTTTTTAGTTTTGCCATAGAGCAGTGTGCTTCTTCTTAAGGAGAGGGAGTGGTGGGGGATGGGGAAAGAAGAGGAGGGGGAGAGGTAGAAAGAAGGGGGGGAAGAGGAGGTGGGACAGAGAGACAGAGACCGAGATCACTCCCCCCAGCCCCAAAGGGGATGGCCATGCTGCAATTCATTTCTCCTCTTGGGATTGTAGCCTTGCACGCACATGTGCCCCTTGTGACTTTTCAAGTCGCTGGGTCTAGGACTTGTGGCTCAGCTTGCCAAGTGGGATCCAGCTGCCTTAACCTCTGTGCCACCTGCTGGCCTACACTTCAGTTTTTGTGCACTAAAATAAATGTATACTTTCATTCTATTTTAAGTGTTTGAGGTCCCCTATTATATAACAAGAAGGGACAAGTTGGTATGCAATTAACCTGCTATCTGCAATTAACCTGCTATCTTCGCTAAGCTGTTAATACATGAGATAATGTTCAAAACCATCCTTTGTTTTCAAATGAGAGACACAGCAAGAGTGAGAAGGAAGTCCTTAGAGGTAACAGCCCCTCGCCTGTGTGGGGGGGTTCCTTTTAGAGCTCTTCTGTCCACCAAGCACTAGTGTGGGTGCTCTTTCTTTGCCTTAAACAACAGTTTGAAGCCACAATCCCTAGTTCAGACTAGCCTTTCTCCAATTAGTTCTACTCGAGCATCTGACAGAATACTTAGCAAATCATCTGGGGCATGGTATTCCATCACTGCCTGCTGTAACAGGCTGATTTGCTGCCTGTGGGTGATGTTGGAGCTTCTGGAGACTCGAGGGCTTCTTCCCTAAGCAGGTGCTGTGACCGATGTCACCGGGAAGGGTCCTAACAAGACAGCGCGTCTTCTCTCAGTGCTGGAACCCAGCCAAGGCCACTCAGGCCGACTGTCCTGGAAGCAACTTACCTCGTTAATTATGATCCTGCTGGCCATCCGTAGTCGGGTCCTGGGCCCAAACTTGTTGGTGATCATTATGCGTAAGCCTGCTTCGGGGAAGCTGAACTTGGGAGGGCTGGAGCTCATGATCTCGTCCACCATCAGCACTGGGTTTTTGCTGTACTGGGGCTTGTCCTTCACTGTTAAGCACAACCAGGATTAGCGCGGAGCTCTCAGAGGACCACACGCAAGGGCAAAGCCTGGCCTTGTGCTCGTCTCCTCGGGCTGTGGTCCTGGGAGCTGGCGGCCCCCTGGACGTTGGCCGAGCTCCTCCCACAGTCAAAGCAGGTCACTGGCTCTGATGTGCCAGCCGACTCTGTGTGTTGTCTGCTCCAGGGCCACGCAGACACCCCACGTCTGGCCCCTCCACCAGCCAAGGCCTTTCTCCTTCTCTTCCAGGGCTCGGTGTTGGCTAGTCACAAGGGTCCTTCAGCTCCTCACCTACACCCCAAAGGGCAGCCCACCTACATCACAGAGTGGTACCTGGTACCGGTGACTATGAGGGGACCTTCCTTTCCCTGTGTCTACAGAGGTTTGAATGACATTTGATGTATCCACAAGGGTCCCAGGAATGGAAAATGCTGGAAAAACAGCAAAGAGAACTGCTTCTAAACTTCCCACAAGGCCACCGGCTCTGTCTTTGAGAGTATCTTTCCTGCAGGAGAGGATGCGTCTAACTTCGTTCTCCATCAGGCAGATGGTGGGGCCAGAAACTGAGGTTGCAGGCTCCAGACCAGCCAGTGAGACCCAGGAGAGGAGCCTGCTTGTCTAAGGGTGCACAGTGAGCTGCTATCTGAGCCCAATGTCTCTGATGAACCCCGAAACCCTCCAGGAGGGGGGCTGCTCTCCCTCTCACTCCTTTGCTCTCCTTGGTTGAACTGGGCTCCCCAGTCCCCCACCCTCATCCTCACCACACCCATATCTGGGAGGGTTCACATCTGACTGCAGACCCCTGGGCGGTCTAGTGACAGCAGCTCATAACACAGCACACAGAAGCAGGCAGTCTGCCCCTCCCAAAGGCGTACTCTAGGCAGATACGCCTCTGTCCACCCTGGTTACCAGCTCCCAGTGTGTGTCTTCCACAGGTAACAGGGTAACTGCGGGACAGGCCCAAAGAACAAACCCGTGCGAGTTAAGGGCACAAAAATGCACAAATGCCACACCAAACACACACGCCCCTCACCAAACAGGCAGCAAGGCTCAGCAGACAGGAGGCACGTGGGTTAGAAAACAACGCCAGGGGACCATGCATTCGTCGGAGGTGGACGTTAACTGACACAGCGAGGTGCGTGTCACTGGGCTGGGTCCAAGGAGTTTGGTTTTCGTTTTTAAAATGCATGTGTTATCGCTTGGGTGAAAGCAGATTACTTACAGTTTAGAAGAGGAGAGTTAAGGAGGCAAAGGCCAACAGAGACTGTCAGAGATGATTAGAGTGCGGTGGGTGCGGAGAGTCTGGGGTAGCATTCTTGATGGTGGTGGAGATGCCAGGGCGTTATGTGAAGGAGGGTGTTAGTAGCGGGGTCTTCCTACAGGGAGCCTCAGTGCTTGGGCCTCTGCCTTCAGGATGGCTCTACTTCCACTCTGAGAAGCGTAAGCCCCCATGCCATAGTCTCCCCCACTGCAAGGAAGCTGGAGTCCCACCCTACCCAGCAGCCTCTGCCTCAGAGGGAGGTGGACACTTGCAAACCCCAGCAGGTCCCAGGTTCTGCCCTCTATCCCAACCAGGCACTGGTCCGGAGCAGCTGGGCTCAGAAGGAAGGAGCCCACAGAGCCTTGTGAGGCAGGAGGCATGATACTTGGCACTGGGGCACCTTGTCCTGGTGCCACCTACCAAGTGACAGCACAGGGTGGGATGGCCAAATCAAGAGTGGCTATCTGGGAGGTAAATAAGTCACAGCACGTTTTCTGAGTTCAGCCGAGGCCAGGGATCACTCACTTCCCTCCCTTGCTCCAAGTCCAAGCCGTGGCCAGAGCCAGGGCAGCCTGGCAGGGCCCCCTAGTGGTCCCTCTGAGCTAGACCAGCTCGGTACCTGCAGGGCTGCTCAGTGGGCTGCCCCGACTGCCAGGCTGGGCAGGGCTCCCCCCAAACCAGCCAGGAGGTCGATTTGGAGAGCAGAGCTGCATCATAGCCTTTGAGAACGGTTAGGTCCATAAAGGCGTTTTCTAAGAGCAGTAGGGAAAGTCTTCTATTTATTGCCTCCTGTC